GAATCATTGGTCGCATGAATACACCAGATCATGACGGTAACCTATGGAATGACCTTGACCTGACCTCATTGTGGCATCTACAAGTTCTTAACACAGCATCCTCAATTAGCCAAAGAGCATATACTTTTGAAGTCATAAAAGGCCTTAATTGACCCAGCCCCTGCAAACATGTAACAGGGGTCTGCAGGTCTTTGCCCTGACCTTGACCTTTCATGTCAGTATGATTTATAATTGTTACTTCTTTAAGATGCCCCCATTTGCTTTTTCCGTTTGCATATATATTCCCGAAAAAGCTTTGTGAGAGTTTTTTCTGCCGGCTTTACAGCCCGAGGCGCTCGGTTGGGACGCCAGCTAATTAATGATTAATAAACCTTGCAGCTGATATCATGGCTTGTGTGTAAAAGAAATAGTCTTGTTATGACCCAGCCAAAGATGTTTAACGGTTTCCAGTATAAGAACCGTTTCAAAAAGCCAAGGAAAATGCGGTGGGCATGTATCCGCTGTTGACCATTACGTGCCGATTACACTTGTGACGTCATCAGTCGAAACGGCGGAATTTGGCCAGACGATCATACCTTCTGTTCTAGGGCCTTGATTTCGCCTAAACATTTGAACGCGCCGACAAATACTCGCACAAACTGTGGCAGCTCCCGGTTCAAAGACGTGTCTACGCTAGCCTACAAGTCTGCTCTCTTTCCGGGTTTGTAGACCTGCGGTTGGCCGCATCTGAGGAGGTGTGGCAGGTGCAGATCTGTAGGCATAATAAATGTGCTAGTGGATAGCAAGATGCGCTTATTTGTAAATGAAGACATGGAATTGGGGCATGAGAAACTTGTCCATTATTGACCATCGATCTTGTCCATTCTTGACCCTCTTGGTATTCGTTGGGCCTTTTGGTGGTGATTCCCTCTATTGGGCCACCGACCGCCACAGCCAGACCAACTCATGAACGAAACAATTGAAAACAAGGGAGGGGCGATCTAACTGCAAGGTGTAAGAGGGCATGTAAACACAAGCTTTTTTAACAATTCCATCATATGTATGCAGCATGCACGGGGCAAGAAGCGATTGAACATTTTCGCACTGGAACGAGTTTAATATGTTTTCTGGTAGGCACAGAAAATCGAATGTGCTTACTTAACACCATGAACAGGAAGTAGACTCCAAATGCCAGGGGACCTCTTGGGTTTGTCGGAGCTGCCAGCCAGTGAAAGGAAATACAATAGTTTATGATGGCGGTCCATAACAGACAATTGAAGTGTCAGGGGAAGCGGTGACAGTGAGAACCCTTTAACGGAACGAGCGGTTCCCCGCCCCAGCTCAACAGGCCCGGTTAATCCAAACTAGGATATCTGCACCAAATATTGGGCCGGTGATCCTGTTTCGTCAATGGGGACTCCTGCGTCGATCTGGAGTCAACCGCCGGGTCAGAGAGCCTCCCGCATCAGACAGGGGAGCAGTGTATGATGCACCCATCCAAGGGCTTCGGATCAACCAGAAGACCTCGCCACGTGTCGCCAGAATGGCGGTCGATTCGTACCCCACGCTAGGACAGAATGACCCTTGAAATGAACTTGGGAGCGCGCATGCTCCCTCAATCTGAACTTGGGGGCACGCATATTCAGAATAACGTTGCACATTTTTCCTGTGATCGATTCATCACGCTCATGTGCTTTCATGACATTATAACCACGTGCTGCACCAACCAGGCTGGGCATCTCTTTTCCCGTAGCTATACCTTCCTCAGCTGCAACGTGCGCATGGCTCGGCTTACAATGTTGAAACCTATCGCTGACGGCTGAGCGGTGACGTGCCGAAGCATGTGCGGGCCCCACTCCACACCACCATGCTTTTTTGCACGCCAGTTCCGCCCTGTACCGCCTGTCACGTCAGTGCCCAGCACAGCCGCTGGCACGGCCGTCGGTTTCATGCAAGGTCGAGCTTATTCCTGTGGCGCTGGTTTTCATCTGCCATACGCAGAACAGGAACCCTTTAATGGAGCGGCGGCGGCTCTCCGCCCCAGCTCAACAGGGCTGGTGAATTCAAACTGGGATATCTGCACCAAATATTGGGCCGGCGATCCTGTTTCGTCAATGAAGACTCCTGTTTAGCTTCCGTCTGTTTTGCTTCAAGCGTCTTAATCAGAGTCGGCTTCTGGCCGGTCGGGTTTATTCAGAGCAGGACTTAGGGAGACCGCGGGAGATTCACTTTGCAACAGTGGCGCTGGACTGTATACCAGGTCGGAGGAAATGACGTGTCGGAGCTTACCGACGCGCCTCCTCCATGAGGACGAAACTTCGCACTCTGGCGGACAAAGGCCAACCCATTCTGTGGACATGAACTGTGGACACCATGAACGCCATGGCGGCACACATGGCATTGGCTGAGAACTCCATTAGTAAGCCGAGCGTAGACACCAGCCCATTACGGGTCACAATTTTGTGGGAAAATTGCCAAGAATTCAGGAGATAAATGATACCAAGCTTTAACGCCATAAATTGTTCTTCCTGGTTAGCTCAGTTGGTAGAGTACTGTATTAGCAATCAGATTATATTTGTTGGAATCCCAGCAATTTCCAAGTTGTGACGCGCATGCGGCTTAACGTCAAACATCATCCAGTTCTTCTCAGGATTCCAGAACACCTGACGACGGTCAGAGAGTTAACTGGCCGAAATGTCGGTTTGTACTGACACAACAGACGTGAACGATAGCCAGTACAACTTTTCCATTCATGATTAGTCTATCTCAAGGTGCATCAATGAACATTTGTGCTTTACTGCAAAACGAGTTGAACCCGCTCCATGATTAAATGCCGCTTTGCGTTAGAGACCAAAATCATGTCGTATTCCCTTCGCCGTTTCGTTTGCTGCCTAAACTCTCTTCAACGACCTAGCGCTTACAACGAACACTAATCTCCTTCGTTGTTCATTGACGATGAAGTGGCTCTTTTGATGGTGACCCAAAGTGGGTAAATCGGACATCGGCCGCATTCCGGTAAACTATTGAAAGAACACGTACTTTATTGAGCATTGAGACCATAGCGCGTGCCACCCGGACTGTGCCGTCACTGTCGGCATGCCTTGAGCCACCATCAAGGGTCAGTACGCGTCCGCCGAGGAAAAGGCCGCAAGGCCTCGCAAGGCCTTGGTAGGCCCCGGACGAAGCCCCTGGGTGTGGAAGGCCTCGCATGGTAAGTGTTCTGGTTTGCTGGGGGCAATCGCTTCCCCGATGTCGTGGTTTGCTTGTCATCCGTCTGTTTTCAGCGTCGGATACAGTTTTTGTAATATTATCACGGATGAAATCATGATTCCGCTTGTAGTTCTCGTCTGGTGTGTTAGAATGCACTAATGTTTCGACCAGTTAACTCTTTGGCCGCTGTCAGGTGATACTGAGCACTGACAAGGTCTGAGAAAGCCAGTTTGTTTCAGGACGTCATAATGCCTGATGACGGCCGGAGAGTTAGCTAGCCGAAACTTTGTGTGTTTATAACACATTAGACGAGTACGACATTCCGGTAACTTATTCGTATCTCCGGAAAGCGCTTAGTGGGTTTCTGAGAGCCCGCTGTTGGCCGAACGTTACAAATATGGCTTTTTTACTAACAAACGTGGGGGGTTGGGAAACCTAAGATGGTGTAGTGTCAGCCCGTTGGTGATTTCTGTTACATGATATATGAACGCTGAGGCTATCAACAATTGTAGATATTGTCTAACGCTTCGCAAATGTAGATTCAACTCTATTTTCATCACTTAAGACGCTTTAAATAAGGAAGCGAGGTACATACGAACGCAGGCGTATCTGCAAAAAGTGCTGCGCTGCAAAATTAGGGCCCAGTAACTTCTAACTTGGGAGAAAGTTGTACTGTTATTTGCAGCTATCTGCACCATTTATGTGCTAAAATTTCGTAAGTTGAGGCATCTATCAGCCATCTAACATCTGTCGCCCATCAAAACCACCATGGTTAGCGGCAACGTCACAGTTCATTGAGTTGTGGCGGCCAGTTACGAGTGCTTGAATCAGTTATCGGATAGCTATAATGATGTGCAGCATTTAATGATGTGCATTGCATGTCTGTGCACATGCAACAGCTGGAGTGGCCAGAAAACATTTGAAAGTAAGTGCTCACCTGTTCCGTTGTACAGGCTCTTCAAACCCGAGCGCTTCGTGAGCTGTCGGAGCTTTGGAATTCGTCATGCTTGTATTAATATCTTGGCAAGCCTCATTCGTGGATCAACAGCGCAGTCCAGTTTCGATGGAGTGTTCCCCATTTGTTTGTGATTTTAATTAAAAATAGCCATTCAGAAGAGCATTCGGTGTAGTTCACAGTCCCGCCCTTCTTAAGACGCAAACCCTTCTGATTTCTGAGCTATACGCCCGTCGAGACGAGCGGACTATTTCGGAGAGACAATTTGAAGGTCACTCCGACATCCATGACATCATAACAACGTCATACAAATCCTGCCTTGACATGGGCCATGCAGCGATTAAGGTCAATAAAAAACATAGTCGTCGAGTTATTCATATCTGGCGTTCATGAGCATGATTTCCAGACGTAGCGGCTGGCAATGTGATATAAGCTTCAGCGCTGTGCAAGCTGCGACGATGTAATCGAGCAAGACGTGTTGGGAACATATGCACTAAACAGAAAACTGTGCTGTTTAGAGCAGCCTTTTCCAGTAGAAGTATACTAGAAGATGTAAGTAAGCTTTTTCGTAATGTCTGATGCTTGCTTCAACATCTTCAAATGTGAACTTCCCTTTAAAGCAAGCAAGATTATTTTCCCTGATAAATTCAGGGAGACATAGCACTTCAGTGGTAAGCTCCATCGACGATGGTTTTGCTTGCATGTCTCAAAAACTCGCGAGATATACTTAGTTCTGTCTCCCCTAACCTCTTCCTGGCGCACCGCTGATGACATTAACAACGTTTCCGCAGAATGCTGCCTCCGAAGATCACATACAGAACTCTATGGAGTTTTTCAAAGAGTACATCCACGCCGGAATCATTCATCGGAGTTCAACTCCACCGACGTTGACGACATGAAAAATTTCCTGTCTTCAATGGCTATGGTAAGGTATCTTGCTAACGTAATCACCCCCGAATTGATGTTGTTAGTAATCCCCTTTCAAAAGGGATGACATTATAGGTGTGTTTTCAAGGCGGTGTGTATAAAATTCTGCAGCTTGTCTAGCTTGTAGCGGCTTAGCTCTGCTGAAGCTTGTTCAGCGCTGAAAACATCACATTTAATTAGGGAGAGAGACCGACGATGGGCTCAAGCCTCATGAGCTTCTGCCTGCTTCCTTTCAGATAACGCCAAGTCACAGAGAAAAAGTGGAAATGGAAATACACGGCGAACAAGTCTACGTCAACCCAATGACCGTCGACGATCTCGAATCAGAATACACGTTTGTAAGTTTTCGACCGGACAGAGCCCAGCCCCCGGTAGCCCTTCCTGTGCATGGTATATTCGCACCGCTCGCACGGCGGATTTCCCGAACGTTTTGAATTGTGTTCCGTATTTGCGAATGCCTTTAGGAGTCACGCTTCTGACCCCTGCAGGGGTGCTTTTGAAGGCCGTTGGGACACTCACATTTCCTGAGAGGACTGACTGCCGCTGTCTTCTGAAGCCCCTCTCCAGGATCGACCTCAGTCGGAGATCTTGCGGAGCTCCCCAGAAGTGTTTTAAAGGCACACCTTAGAAACGTCCAAAGGTTTAGTATCATCTGCAACGGCTTTCCAGCTGTGTGTCCAAACATTTTATCCATCTCTTCTACTCTTTCTATAAAGTCTGCCAACGACAAGAAGAAGCGCTGGACGGGATTTTTTTGTGGATTTTTAGCTCCAAATGTGATGCAGCTTGAAAACATCGGACAAGAACCTTTGCGGTATTATGTGTCAAAATGCACTGCGTGTGTGCATTTCGAGCTGGCCGTGCTGAGAGGCATTCTTTTCAAGGTCACCCTTTATTGGAGCGTTGTTTGAACGTCCTTGCTATGCTGTCGTCACAGGACGCACATTCCTTCATGCTGCTGGTTATTGTACACTGGTATTCGTTTCTACAACTGGCACGTTTGGTTTTTTGGCACGTTTGTTTTTTTTTATTTAGCCGGAGCATTTTGGTTGGACATGTTTCCGAGATCAGAGCTCACGCTAAGCAGTACTCCACGCGTGAACCCTGGACCTCACCCTCTCATCCTGAAGCTCCATTTTAGGGACAGAATCTTGCAGTGTTAGCTCAATATGCCGCAGTGCTCGGCCCGGCCCGCCCGGCCCTCTGACCTCACTTGACCTTGGCGCGGCCGCTGCCACCAGCCGCAGGCCGCCCCAGCCAGGAGCGAACGGCGGCCGCCGAAGTGAGTGCAACCCCACCCACCGCGACGCGGCTGGGCCGGATGGGAAGGACCGACAATCGAAACGATTGAGCCACGGGCTGGACACAACACTGAAGTTACCTTGACCGAAATTTGGGGTCAGTTTTTGACTGGCGACGGGCAGAGCCTCGGCTGCGATTCTGCTGTTCCCACGTTTCAGACAGGATCAGGCATCACGTTAGTCCCCCTCCCCCCCCCCGTGGGTTGAGGCTGATGGTGACCGCAGTCGTGCTGCCTGCGCGTAGGCTGATCGTATTGATAGCGCCAGAGCGGTACCACAGCTGCCAATTTTAGCAGCGTGACATCATTGGCCCCGTTGAGTCGAGAACGCTGGCTGGTTATGTGACAGCCTGGCGAGTTTATTGTCCGGCCTTGGAGGGAAGTTTGCGCTCGCTTTGGGCTTAAACTGTGGGCAGCGTCGGATGTGCATTAGACTTTGTGTCTCGCGCTGATTGCTTATCTTGTAAAGATATTTAGTTATTTGACTTCGTCTTCCGCGCTGTCGCATCATAATTTGTTCTTGAAATACCATGATGGATTTCTTAAGTGCTAATTGACCCTTTTCACCTATCCTCACTTGTCAAGGACCACATTCACCATTGTTCAATCACATTTATGTGATCAATTTGACAACAGGTGTTTAATGCTGTTTTTTGTTGTGGCTTTGCCTTGCTTACATTTCGATATTTTAGATCGCCTTAGAGTCCCCCCTCCTTCGCGCGGCGAAGACGAAAAACCCCCGTAGACCGAGGGTTGAAGGTCAGCACTGCCAAAACTGCCCCACTGACGTCCTTCAAGATAAATAGAGCGTCTGGTCACAGGTCTTTTAGGGACACTTTAATCTGTAGTTCATATATATTTAAACATAATGACCAGGGTCGCCGTCAGAACAGCAGTTTATCTACCAACGTCGACCGTGAGGCCCCTTACAGTGTGTACAAGCGAGCGATAAATCAGTACATACTGGATTGCATACTCTACACAGAGACGGAGCCTCGTGCAACGTGGTGAGATGAGAATTGAAGATTAGCATTACACTTCGGCACGCAGTCTGTCACGTGATCTTTTCAATTTTACGCCAACGCGTCGGTGACGGTGGCAGCGAGGCCCGCTCTTATGACTCGATCAGTACCTTATCTGTCGCTGGAAAGAGCACGCAAATGCAACGACAGGGACAGGGAGGACCATGGCTATGATCGCACAGAAATTAAATCAGCAATCAAGTCAATGCTTCAAGAAGGAGGTGAGTCTTCCCACGACAACTTCAATGCAAAGGTTTATGACGTGAGATCAAGGACTAGCGGCAAAAGGGATCAAATGATAGTCTGTCAGACATGTTTGCGGTCTTTGTGTCCAAGGGGGATAGCATTTATCATGCGGAGGGCCGTGCCGTCAATCAATGAGCCAATTGACTTATTTCGGGTCTTATTTCAGAGCTGTTTGTGTCCGTAGGAAACCACCATTTCACGTACAAATTACGCATGAATGGCTCTGAGCAGATCCTGGTTGGCCGTCCACCAACATATTGCTGAACAATTTGCGTAATTGGCGGCGGCTGCGGGCCCTTGGTGGCACCTCCAAACGTGATCTGCCGGTCCCTGGCGGCGTCTCCAAACGTGATCTGCCGGTCCCTGGTGGCGGTTTCTAAGTGCGGTCTGCCGCCAGTGCCAGAGCATCCGAGGTCCCATCGACAGTGTGCTCCAGCGCGACAACAACAGCTCTCTCAAGGCCGCCTGATATGATGGAAGTCAGATGCGCGCTTGGACGGAGCCAATCGATATGGTAACATGATGACGAAGGCGCGCCAAATAGCCTCGGTGCACGAAGCGGGTGACCCTTTGATCTCCTTTCATCTAACAGGTGCTCCGTCATTCATGTTTAAATGCCGCTCGTGGCGCCCCCTAAGTCTGATTTGGATCGCGCCATTCTGCCGTGTTGAGATTACTCGTCTACCCAGGAATGCGCCATTCCGCGTGCTTAGTTTGCTCGTCTACCCAGGAATGCGCCCCGGGCCTATTTCCAATCACTGATTTTATATTTGTCACCCACAGCAAGAGGCACCACTGGGTGTGTGGAATACAATTGTAGCGCATTATGTGTATGTACTCGTGCCGCGAAGTTTTTCGATTGCTCTTTCATTGGGTATCGACATGCTTTGTCGGTGTTGGAGGTTGAGTTGGGTTCCGCGAAGTTTTATATCATTTCAAAGTGTGTCTGGCGATGTTACATCATTCCGCGAAGCTTGGGCATATCCCGGTGTCACTTCAGAACACCTGTTCTGGATCCGGATAGGTACGCCGGCTTCGCACGATTCGGACACTGGCAGAGCCAGCTACTTCGAGAAATAAAAGAGAAACGCGCACAAGGACGCGTGTAGGAAGCAGACGCGGCGACGGTAAATCCCAGTAGCGCGCCAGCCTCGCTGAGGCATCAAACGGCCCGACTGGTGCTGTGGCTTTGCACATACCGCGATTACGTAATCAAATCAAGGTATGCGTGCGTGTAGTTCCTTGAAGGTTTACATTCACGCCCTGTCAAGCTACGTCAAAAAACGAAGGGACCTGGACCTTTCCAAAGAGGTAGCCTTTGTTAGGATACTGATCGTGCCTCGCCAAAAATACAGCTCACTTAACGAATATCATGTTGCAAAATTACAAAGCCGGTAATCGCCCCTCCTGTGCTGTGGTTGAAGGGGAAACAGGCATCATTTGGTTCGGCCACTGCTCTTGCGTGACGGTCATTTGGAGAAGCGTAAGGCTATGCTGCAGCTGTGCCTTTTAGGGCTGAGCTAGGTGCTGGGCTACATGTCAACACTGAAGCTGGTTCATGTGACGTATGTGGTTGGAAAGAAAACATCGCATATGGGCCAGTTTTTTTAAAATTCTGACCTTTGTGTGTCATACTCCCTGCCTCCATTACCAGACGAGGGGGGGGGGGGGCAAGTGAAAGAGAAGAGCTGGATGTGAACGTCGGAGTTGAAAAAGCAGAACCCAGGAATTTGGTGAACTGTGCCTCTGGGTCAGTCCTCGAGGAGGACTGACCCAGAGGCACCCTACAAGAAAGAAGAAACGCGTCAATGCCAATCGTCTTCCAAAGACACCTTTTTGAGTTGTCAAGAATGTGAATGAAGGTAACCCAAAGTGCATGCATCCATCGCAGTAGACACTGCCAACGTCATGGTGAGGGCAAGCCAAGTTGGGCTGAAACAACCAGCATGTGATCTGCTCAAACCACCAGATCTCAGGTGTGCACTTTGGCATTGCGAAGGAAGACAACGACACTAAGTGCCTTCGCACCTACTCTGATATAAAGCACTGAAGCGCCCAAGCCTTACGTGAAGTAGGCCATTTGCTAGCCCTCATGCAAGCCCTGGCGACGAAGAGAAGCATACTTACTGTCCTGATTTTACCATGGTAAAATGATCAATTGCCCATGCCCAAACAAGTGATGATGATGCACACGGGTAGAAAGTGGTGCTGATCCCACTCTGTGTTAGGTGAGATCCGTAAAGTAAACGCGCAGAAACCGGTGCGCTTACGCTTGCAGGACCCTATTGCCGCTAACGCACGGCGATGTAAAGGCCGCCCCACACTGGCGATGCGATGCGATGCGATGCGATGCGATGCGATGCGATGCGATGCGATGCGGCGCGGCACGGGTGCAGTGCGGTGCGAGACGGAACTGAAAAGTAACATAACGAAGTCAGTGAAATTTAAAAAACGCGCCCACTAATCCATTGCAGTCTACGTACGTGATGACGGGGGGGGGGGGCAACTCTTGACAGATGCAAACTTGAATTTCGGTCAAGTTTCGGTACTTTGCAAGCGATGGCTGAATAACACACCATTGTCTACTATTTTGACCAGACAAGGTTTGTCGCTGGTGGCTGATTACACTGGATACAATTTTCCACATTTGAAGATGTTGAAGCAATCATCAGACACGATGTGATACGCGTCGCTTATGACTGTTGGTATAATTTAAGTGGAAAAGACTGTTCTAAGCAACTCAAATTCCCTGTTAAGCAGATATGCCTTGCAGTATGCCATTGCTTCACTACGGCATTGTATCTCGCAATAAATTGATTGAGAGCCAATTGACGGCCGTTGTATCTTGAAATGGTGCTATGGAACGCCGGATATGAATGACTCGACACCTATTTTTTATTTGCCTCGGTCGCCACATAAGTAATGGAAAGACAGTACTTGAATGGCGTTTTATGGCGTCATTGATGCCTGGATGACCTTGAAATAGTCTCTCCGAAAAAGTTTATACATTTTTCGCGGGCGTGTACCTCAGAAACTAGAGGGTTCTTGTTCTTAAACGGAGTGTCTCACATTTCTATGATGGTTTTGCACTGAAATAGCCATCTTTAAGGTCGTTTGGCACTGTTCAAATCCACGCCCTTCTTAAGATGTAACCCCTCTTGTTTCTGAGCCACACGCCCGGGAAGATGTGGAAATTAATTTGGGGAAATCCATATAGAACCAGATAGGGGAGTTCCAGATAGACCGGCCGTCAGTCGGCACTCAATTAATGCTGTGCAAGGTACGATGACGCATTCAAAAAGTGACGCATTCAAAAGTGAGTGACGGAGGATGGAGAAAAAGTCGCGGAGCATGTATCACGTCACCATTTCTTGCTAAGCAAAGAAATTGTGCTGCCTAGAGCAGAGCAGAGCAGTGCTGTCTAGTGCTTGCTCAGAGCTATCGGCATAATTATGCCAATAGCTATGAGCAAGCTCGTTTCATCATCTATGATGCTTGCCTCAATATCTTCACATGTGGAGCATTCACTTTAAGGAACGCATGGCTGTGGACTGCAACCGAATGATCTTCAAGAAAGGCTTTTTCAGCTCAAAATGCCAAATAGACCCGGGGCAATTTCCTTAAAGAGAGTATTCCACAATTTGTTCGTGGTCGTGAGCTGTATGAGATTATTATTCGGTCGTTCAGATCTAGCGTCTGTGGGCGTGATTTCTAAATATAGTGGATGTCATTTGACACTCAATCATCGTCGAGCAAGCTGTGCAAGCTTCAACCAAGTCGCACGTTTTATGCTACCTGATGTAAGTTGGATATGGTTTGTTCATTTGCTAGCTATACGAAATAAAACTTGGAATGGAATAACCTGGGAATAGCGCCACATCCGTGATGTGAAGGCAAGGTAGCATTTTAAACTCACTGGTGAGTATACAGGAAAATGAGAAAGGGCCAAAACACGAGTACGTAACGATATTTGGCCCAGCGAACACTTCCAGCCTGTGCTGCCATCTCTCGTCCAGGTTGAGATACTACAGGTAAGTTGCAGTCTCACACTAGTTTGGCAGCACTTTACCGTCACACAAGCGACCCATGACGCAATTAAGCAATGACGTATTGACGAGTATATTTACTAAGAAGAAAATCTTGTTTTCCAGAGTAATTTTCTATGGAAAAATACACCAATAGGTTTAACTGAATTGATTTCATCATATCTCATTCGTGCTGCATTATCTTCAAATGCAAAATTTACTTTAATGTGTGCGTGATCTTGTTGATATCTTACCTTCAGTTTTTAGTTCAACGCAACGCAGCGCAACGCAACGCAACGCACGCAACGCAACGCAACGCAACGCAACACAACACAACAAAACTGTCAGTGTGTAGCAGTCGTAAGCGCTCGACTGACCCATGACACCCGACCCAAACGCGATCTACGGGCCGCCGGCCGAGACCCAGACCCGAGCCGCGGCCCAGTCGCCGCTGACCCCGGTCAGCCAGCCGCAGTGCCGGCAGAGGTCGGGAGTGGCCCGCACCCAGTGGAATCCGGCCGGTGGTCGGCTGCGCTCCGTGCCAGATGCTCCTCAGGGCCTCCTTCTGTGCACCCAAACACGGACCACTGAGGAAGCTCTCATCGCTCAGCTGCTGACAAGCTATGTGGTCAAAAATAACATTGTTGATCACACTGGTCGCTGTGGTCGAGAGGGGCCCAGCTGGCCGGCAGGCACGACGTTTGATACAGGATTGCGGTTGCTAGGCGTTGCAATGTAAACAACCAACACCAGCGCGCATGTGTCGCATGTCATTGGAGACAGGGGTGAGATTCGGCAATCGTGACGCGATCAGGTGAGGCATCTCAGCTCAGCTCAGGCAGATCAGGTGAGGCAGCCCCCTCACATCAGGTGAGGCAGCTCCGTCACATCAGGTGAGGCAGCTCAGCTCAGGCAAATCAGGTGAGGCAGCTCCGTCACACCAGGTGAGGCAGCTCAGCTCAGCTCAGACAGATCAGGTGAAGCAGCTCAGCTCAGCTCAGGCAGATCAGATGAGGCAGCTTCCTCACATCAGGTGAGGGAGCTCTGTCACATCAGGTGAGGCAGCTCAGCTCAGCTCAGGCAGATCAGGTGAGACAGCTCCCTCACATCAGGTGAGGCAGCTCAGCTCAGCTCAGGCAGATCAGGTGAGGCAGCTCCGTCACAGAGCCACTGAGCTTACCATCAGGTGAACGGGTTCCAATTTTTCGATAACATCTAACGCCGAGTATCGATAGGATATTTATAAGTCATCGGCTACCGTACATGGTGGTTAATGTATCGGATGTCTTGCTGTTTGAGGCTGCATTCAACAGTGCGCGGTACGATTTGGGTTTCCAAGGCAGGACAGAACGGAACCTGGATGTCTCAAGCTGCGTTCGGTTTCGGTGCCTCAACAATGACGCCCTGATCTCCTCCCAGGTGCTACAAGCTGTGCTCAGTGCTCCCCGAATGTTCTCCCCGAGTGTGGGGCTCATGGAGTGCTACGCCCGTGTCTTGTGCCGCTCATGTATGAAACCTGCGCACGGTGCCGCTCGACTGTAACACGTGCTCCACGCTCTTCAGATGTGCCAATCTGTGTTCGGTGCTCCCCAAGCATGGAGGACAATCTTCGGTGCTCCACAGGTGAATTGGACGGTGTTGCTATCCGAGGCGCTGTCCGCAAACGTCAGCAGTTCGGACATTGTATACGTACCGTTTCCCGGCTACCTGGATGACCTGGATATGAAGATTGAGCTTCTTCCGGCGCACACCATACACAACGGCCTACTTTTGATGTACAGGTGCGTGTGTCAGCCCAATGACCCCATCTTATAGGGAGTGCGTCACCTTTTAGAACGAAATTTTACTTAACTCGTCTCAAGTTAGCATGAATAGATACATAAGATCAGGATGACTAGCTAGAAATGTGCATGTGGCTTGGGCAGCAAAAATTTCTCTTCGCGATATTTTCCTTGGCACCGCACCTCCTCTTCCTAAGATGAACAGCTTTACGGATTTATTTCCTCGGGCTCAATCAATCGCAGTCAAAAACTGTTTGATAGCAGATTATTTTATCCCTACTATTAAACGTTGAGTTGTTGGACCCGGTGACTTAACTGCTTACGTCTTAAACTGTGTAAATGGTTATAATATCTAAGTTCGACAGAACTACCACACTGCAAATATAGTGCATGGACATTTGGATCCGTCGGTCGCTGGTTACCCCAAAGCCTTTCCGACGCAATTCGCTGTGAATTTGCTGAGACGTGCGAATTCTCCGCAGTGCCCGACCCCATGAATATTTACCAGATTCCGAGCATTTCTACCA